TTCGAACAAATAGGCCGAAAGCCTAAGTACACTATTTGTTTGACACTTGAAGTCACTTTTGATTACACGTTCGAGCTCACAACTTTTTTGTTCGACATTTGACATGACTAAGTTAAGGGAATGACTGTGATACCATGTTGAGAATTATGGATCATCCACAATAGTATAATATTGTTTTGAGCATAGACTCTCATGACTTTACTTTTGGTTTCTCCAAAAAGTCTAGTACCAATCAAGATGTATTTCTTACTTATAAACTCATGATTATCCTCCTAATTAGCCAATACGAGGTTACCTCTCAACAATCCTTAATAAGTTACACGATCTAAATAGCACCTAAAATTGATACTCATACGTGAAAAGTTTGTAGTATCATCTTCTCTAAGAAAAACTAAACTGTTCACAATAATCACAATAAGCATTTTACTAAAATCCTCCACCCTTTACCATTTCAACTCTGTTTCCATCATCCAAATGCTTGTCATGCACAAAACTTTTCCAGTACCAATGTGTCTTCCAAACCTCATTCATCTCTTCAATTGGAATGCCCTTTGTCTCAGGCAAGAACACCGCCACGAAGATTGACATCAGTAGAACAAAGAACGCAAAGAAAAGGAACAACCCAAATTTCAAATGGCAAAGCATTACCAAAAACACTTGAGCTACCACGAATGTGAAGAACATGTTGACCGAGACGTTTACACTTTGAGCAGCTGAACGAATCTCCAACGGGAAGATTTCACTTGGCACCAGCCAACCTAGAGGCCCCCATGACCATGCGAACCCCGCAACATATATGCAAATGAACAGCACCACCACAATTGCGTACCACCTGGGTAGCAGCCCTGGGTCCCCATCTACTCCAAATTTTGCACCAATTGCCGCTGCCACTACTATCTACAAAATAACACACAACCACCAAACTTTTTGCTTTCACTACCAAACTAGAAAACCCTTTTTCAGTTATGCCGGAGAGGAGAACGGAACATTTTTTTATAAAGGCTTTGAAATCTCTCTAGTAGACGTGTTTTAAAAACCTTGAAGGAAAGTCCAAAGAGAACAATATCTGGTAACGGTGAACTTAGACTGTTACAGTTATTTTACCTGACATATCAGCATTTGAATTCCGCCCTCCAGAAAAAGAAGCCTCCTTCCCCATTTGTCGACGCCGTAGATTGAAACAACCGTAGCAGAAACAAAAACGCAACCGGTGATCACAGCTGACATAAGGGCAGCTTCACTTCCGAACCCAATGGTGTCAAACAGAACAGGAGCATAGAACATGATGACATTGATGCCAGTGAGCTGTTGGAAGAAAGGGATCAAGATGGCCATGGTGAGATGGGGTCTGTATTTTTGCTTCAATAGGTTAGTCCATGAATTCTCCACTTGGTTTGATGCAACACTGGCTGTAACAAGGTCATTGAACTCTTCATCAATGTCATCAATTCCACGGATTCTTTTGAGTTGATGTCGAGCCTCGTCGTGGCGTCCTCGCTCGATCATTGAGTTCGGAGTGTCGGGGAGGACGAAGGCTCCGACTGTGATTATAAGAGCAGGAACCACAGCACCACCCAAACTCAAGCGCCATCCCCACCCACCTTTGATCTTTGCAAAGAAAAAGTTCAACACATTGGCTATCAGAATTCCAACTGTGATTGACAGCTGAAAACCAATGTTGAGGGCACCTCTGTATTTGTATGGAGCCATTTCAGACAGGTATAGTGGCACTGACTGTAAAAGAAACAAAAAACACAACAACCAACTACTTCAAATTAAACATTGTAGTATAACAAATCCAAGTTGTGTTTGTACAATAGTTTCGCTTTTGCTCTCTGATTGTTCTAAAAAGGAATACAGAATCATGGAACATTGTAACAGTTATGTTTACCGCTAGCTGATATTATCTTCTTTGAGTTTGCCTTTTTGCGCTTTTCATCAAGATTTTTAAAACGCATCTATTGTTGAGAAGTTTTCATATCCTTGAAAAGAATGTTTCATTCCTCTCTCCAACTAATGTGGGATCTCACAATCCAACCCCTTCGAGGCGCAGCGACTTCGTTGACCCATATAATGTCCACCCCACTTCGAGGCTTAGCGTCCTCGCTGGCACACCGTTCAATATCTAGCTCTGATACCATTTCTAACAGCCTAAGCTCATGACTAGCCGATATTATCTGCTTTGGGATTTCCCTTTCAGCCTTCAACTTAAATTTTTTAAAATGCCTTGGCTAGGAAGAAGTTTTCATACTCTTCTAAAGAATGCTTCATTCCGCTCTCCAACCGATGTGGGATATCACAATCCACCACTTTTAGGCCCAGCATCTTCACTGACGCTCATTCTCCTCTCCAATTGATGTGGGATCTTATAATCCAACTCCCTTCGCGGTTTAGCGTCCCCGCTGGCACACCGCACGGTGTCCACCCTTCTTCGAGACGCGTAATAGGAAAGCCCATAAGGGAACACCTAAAAACGTTGAGAGGAAGCCTAGAAGGGAAAGCTCAAAGAGAACTGTATCTGAATGAGTACCGGTTGCGCTGTGTAACTCTGAAAGATGCGTGTGAAAACTCATAAGTGAAACCCAAAAACCTTGAGGGAAAGTCTGGAAGGGAAGGCATAAAGAGTACAATATCTCCTAGCAATGAGCTTAAATTGTTACAAATAGTATCAGAGCTAATAGACAGTGTGCCAAAGAAAACTTTGGGCCGCGAAAAGGGTTGGTGTGTAGATCCCACATCAGTTGGAGAGGGGAACAAAACATTCCTTAGGTACGAAAATCTCTCCTTACTGGACGAGTTTTAAAGCTTAAAGTCCAGAAGAGAAAGCTTTGGACATCATCTACTAACAGTCGGTTTGGGCAGCTGAGGAAAAGTAAACCAAATGTGATTACTGTTACTGCCTGTTGGCGGGTTTTGTAGAAAATCAAAAAACTAATAACAGAGATCAGCTGCATTTACAAACCCCTATTCACCAAATTAAGATCCCTATTTTTGTGCTCAATGGATCTATATTGAGTTTCAAGCACAAAGCATTGAATCGTAATTTTCAAAATAGCAAAACTAAAGCGATAGAAGTAATAAATCGGCACCTGATTAGCGAAACCGATGCCAAAACCAAGCAAAATACGACCAAGAATAAGCATCAAAACGTTCTTAGCAGCGGCATTGATTATAGCACCAGAACAAAACAGCATACCACCAAACAGCATAGACAATTTCCGCCCAAATCTACGCGTCACCGTCGACGCCACCAGCGACGACAACAGCGCCGCCAAGTAAAGCGACGAGGTGAACAACGTCAAAGCCTCACTGTCGTACTGACAGTACTGGTTGGTCGTTTCCTTCTGGTGCTTCTTCCTGAACACCGATGGGAAAAACTTCTCCAAGAACGAGTCCATTGAAGTAACCCCACCTACCCAAAACCAACAAACACAAATTTTAGCCAAAAAACCCCATCTAATTCGTAAAGCAATAAAACAATGAGTACCCGAAATTCCAATATCGTAGCCAAAAATTAGCCCCCCCATGGCAGCGACGATACATGTCACAGTGACATAAAGAGTAAGATTCCCCGGATACGCCTTTTTACTGCCACCGGTCGCAATTCCCACCGCCGGCATTTTCGAACAGAGGATCGATAACCAAAAGACGACGGCAGAAGCTCGGAGTTACAAAATGTTGTTTATTGAGAACCATGGGCAATAAATCATTGACCAAGATAAGGAAAAACAGTAAAATTTTCTTCAAAAGAGACAATAATAATAATTATTGTAATTATTATATTCTTCCAACCTCGTACATCTATAAAATGAACAATTAAAAATAACGGTGCAGCAGTAGTAGCCGTAATAACACATGGGGTTGGACTTCCAAAACATACATCTAATTTTGTAATTAAATTTTTTCTTTTAAATCTCGAGATTAAATTATAAAAAAAATTATTAATTAAGTTGTACGATACTTCCTTGAGCCATCGAGTAAGTGTTTGTGTCCTATCGACTTATGCTTAAGCCTCGATCCCTTCTCTATTTTGATTTATAACTCTATTTTAATATATATTTTTCAAAATATTTAAAATTTTATTTTAGAATAAATAATAAAATTAATTGTAAAATTAAATTGATACATGTATATATAATTGTATGATAAATAATAAGATACAATTTACTATTAATTTTTGTAGGCCCACTTGACAATAGTTTCGTTCCCACGTGCATAGATGAGGTTCGGGTTGTCTTTTCCCTTATGCCAAAAGATACAGCGTGACAAATATTTTAAAACACGCGAGAAAAATTACAATAATACTTTGAATTTATATGCTTTAATTATTAGAGTGCAAAACTTAGGAACATTTTATAATGAGTGATTGAAGGCATAATTAATATAATTAAGCATGATTGAACAAGATTGTATGGCTTCAATGATTGAGCTGAGCCGAAACCTCACCAAAACTGAAAATTGTATTGCAGACAAACAGCCCAAACTTCTAGGCCCAAGCCCACCGCTTCAAGTTTACTGCACTCTTCTATCTCGTAGTACGAAAGAAAATAGATAGTTTAATCACCCAAGCCCACCGCTAACAGATATTGTTTGCTTTGACTCGTTAAGTATCGAGAGATTTTCACACCCTTATTAAGAATGTTTCGTACTCCTCTCCAACTGATGTAGAATCTCATAGATAAGATACTAATTACTATTAAAAAGATCGATGATTTGATACTCGAACCATGGACCCATCTCTAGGTTGGCACCAAAAATATCAAATATTTATTCGAGGGATCCACACCCATTCACTCACATGCTGGCAATGCATTGCAAGAAGTTTCTTATGTGTAAATGTATGGTCCAGTTGTCAGGCCCTTCGCTGCTTGCTTCCCATATGTCCATTCCTCATCTCTAAAAGCTTATTATATAATATTAATGAATGAGATTGCAAGATCTGGGAATTGGGACTGCCATCGACCTGAAATTATATCCACAATCATTCATGCTTTGATTAGTAACAAGTGCTTACATTCATTGCGAGCTTAAACCTTGTTCAAGATTATGAACAATCATTCATTTGGTGTTTACATCAATGTTTTATTGATATCAAGAAACTGGGTTTGCCTGCCACAACAAACGGGATATAGAAAGGGAAAATACAATAGATTCACTGCATCTTCACTTCATCCATCACTGTCTTCTCAGTGCCGATGTCCGAAAATGGCAGATATGGGCAGAAGCTTGATTAAAACTGCTCATACTCCGCTGTTGTTTTCAGTGTCTTTTCTTCTCCCCCATGTGCCTCTCACCCATCATCAATTACACTGATTTAATGTATTCTCTCTCAATCTCAGGGCTATAATACAAAAGTTTATGTGGGTGGTTGGAGATGATTAAATTAGAGCTTTCTAATCACACTCTTATGAAGCTGTTTCTTGAAAGGTAAGTTTTTGAATGAACTGGGAAAGATCAGAGACGAAAGTTTTTGGGAATCAAATCAGGTATGGATTGAATAAACAAAATCATGTAAGAAGAAGAAGAAGAGGAGGAGGATATTACATTCAAGAATGCCAGATTCCATTCAACATACTACGGAATTTGTTTGTGGACAATTTTCTGACGAGCTTCTTAGCGTCGTAAACTTCAGCTTCTGCAAGTTTCTCAATGTTTTTCATATACCCAGAATTCACAATCTTCCTTCTACCACTACTGCTTCCTGTTAATGAGTTTAATATGGAAAAGAGGAACCTTTTGTTACCTGAATTTCCCTCCTCTGTGTCCAGCATTTGCAGAAGCATCTCTACGTTTCGATTGTCCTGAGAAAATCTCTTCCTGTTTTTGGGGATCATGACCAATTCTGAGAGTGCCTCGGCTGCCATTTCTCGAACTTCAAATGATTTTGCACCAAGAAACTTGACGAATTCTGGCATGAAACCTCCATCCCCCATTGCTTTCTTGACTTCGTCTGATGTCCCACATAGCCTAGCTGCAACTTTCAGAGCAACTTCTTGAAGAGAAACTTCCCCATTTCGTAAGAAATAAAGAAGATTATCCATGAACCCGTAGTTCATCAAAATATTTACATAACTAATTGATGAGAAACAGAGGTTTTCAATTGCTCGCATCGCTACCTCTAGAGTTTTGGTTGAGGACGAAGATTTTGGATCCAAAACGCGAACTAAGGCCCGAATTCCACCGTCTTTAACCAGGAATTTGTTGACTGATTCATCCCCATAAGCTATATTTTGGAGAAAAACAATAGAGTTTATCTGCACAGCTTCATCTTTAGATCGAGCGAGCCTAATAAACGTTGAAATTGCACCTTCTTCAATCATAAATCTCTTGATCTCTTCAACACCAACGAGATTGCTGAGCACCCCACAAGCAGGGCTGATCAATTCTGCTTTGGAATCAGCATTGGAACAGATTTTTAACAGAGCTGTTACTCCGCCATGAGCAGATACAGACCAAGCATTTCCAGAATTCTCCGTGAATTTCATCAAACACCTTGTGGCTATGTTCTTCCCCTCCTCGCTCCCACTTTCCAAGACCCGAATCAATGGCGCAATTACCCCATTTCCAACTAGAACTGGTTTATAAGAATCAAACCCAGAGATTTTATGAAGAACTTTCAAAGCCGCTTCTTGGAGTTCTGTCTCGGGAGAGCCAAGAAAATTAACAAGGAGATTCACTATCTCGCCGATTTCTATTATTAGTTTCACATACTTTTCGTCTTCAGTTACAGCAGCGAGAAGATTAACGAGGGCTTGCCTCTTCAGATCTGAACAACCAATCTTCATTCTCGTTACAATATCCCTCACATAAAATCTCATATCATCCTTACAAGCTCCAAGACCAGGCCTAGAAACGACGATGGCGAACCCTTGCGACAAAATGCCTGCTGTATAAATGTCCGAAAGCTTCTTCGCATGGCGGTCAAATTTCGCACAGATAACATCCAAATCACTTTGCATCAAAAGCTTCCCACTGAAAGAAAGATCAACACAGCGGCAAGCGAGATCGCGGCATTCAGTAGCTGTCTCAATCACCTTACGAATTAGGTCAGAGATTGCGGGATTTTCATCGGAATCACAGTTATCAGCCGCGATTAAGCCGGAATTCAATTCTTCAAGCTTGTCGCGGATTAATTTCCATTTGGAAGCAAATACTTTAACGGAATGAGAAAGAGATATCAAAGAAGAAATTAGGAGAATTACTTGCCGGAGTGTGGGCTTGTCGAGTGAGAAATCCGGCGACTTCGTCGGGCCCGTTTCTACAGGTCTCGGACCCCGTTCTTCTCTCATTTTACTTGTCACTGGAAACGGATTAAAATCATTTTCCGGCGAGTTGACGGTAAAATCTCCGGCGAAGAATCACTGGTCTGAAAGCAAAACGGAAGGTCCGTGATATAGAGCGAGTTATCAAGATTCCAGAGTCTGTGGTGACTGGTTTCTCTCCGCCTTCTTTTAACACAAAATAAATAACTCCATATTTTAATTCGAGGATTAAAAAAATACCAAAATTGAAAAATTGTTGTATTAATTCATTAATTATAAATATTTAGGCTAAATATATGTATTGATCCGCCTTGCAATTAAAAGAAAAATGTTAATGTTTAATTAATATTTTTAGTTTATTAGTTGACTTGTTCAAAAAAAAAAAAAAAAGGAAGTTATTTAAGAAAACTCGGAATATCAAGATATTTATAAATTAGGAAAATGAATTATTAATTTTTCTTTTTTAAATGACTTCTTTTCTTTAAATTTGTACTAAATTACATAATCTTAATAAAAATTTATAATCAACAAAATCAAAGTGTAAAAATAAATTAAAAATAAAAATAAATAAATTATATATTAAACCTAATTATAGCGAAAAATGGAAATTTGAGGATAAATATAAGGAAATTTTTGTAAGTAATTATGTTTTAATTTGTTGTAATAATTAGTTGGATTTTTATAAATAATTAACTTAGAGAAATAATTTTTACCTTTTACCAAAACTGTAAAAGTAGAAAGTAAATGACCATATAAACCACAGGTCATTGGAATGTTTCCATCCCTTTCTAAACACAAGTTGGATCAAATTGAAGCTATGTGTCAATCTCAACAATTTTATTGATTTTTTTTTTTAACGAAAATCTTCTCAACTTTATGTATTATTTTGAAAATCTTATTTTTGGGTCACAAGTAATATAATTTCCTTATATTAATCATGTCACGTTGTAATGAAAAGAATCTCATCATCACTAAAATAATTCATGAATTGTATATAATAATTATGTTTTAGTGATGAAATTGTTGTGAATTATATCAAATATTTTGGACTAAGATAGAAGTAATATAGAGAATCTCTACCCGTATGGCATATTGATTCATATATCATTAATCCACAAGTAATATTGATAATAACAACACATCCTTCTAGGTTTTGCTTTTGGTTCCACCGAAAAAGGGTTTATACCAATTTGCGCACACACATATATACTACAAATCTCTTCCTTCTCTAACCAACAACGTGAGAGTTCGTATGCATTCCCAACACGTTTAGACACGAAAGCAACACGAGATGACAAAACCCTTTAGATCCATAATTGAAATGAACTAAAGAACCATAAAGTCCCTACCATTAAGTTTAAAAAAAGAAAGGGTAGGTTTGAAATAAGAGTGAAAAAGTGTGCAATGTGTTAAATATAGGACAGCCCTTAATTAGTCCCCACACCCACCATGTGAAGAAGAAGAAGAAGAAGAAGAAGAAGAAGAAAGGAAGAAAGGGGTTTGGTTTGGTTTGGATATTGATGCCTTGAGTTAACGACACTTTTGTCCCTTTCCTTTGTTTTGTCCCTTTCCTTTGTTTTGTCCCTTTCCTTTGTTTTGTCCCTTTCCTTTGCTTTATGCACTTTGGTGGAGTGCAGAGGAAAGCTGGGCAATGCCTAAACAACAAAGACAAACCTCTCCCCTTTTGCCTTTTCAAAACCTTTCTTAATTAATCACATAATTTATTTAGCCGACTAATTGTGCGGCTGGACTCAATTATCCCTAAAACTTTGCATTATTTATCTCAAATCAGGATATTATTGTTTTATATAAACAAAGCCTATTGTATTCCATCCACATTGTATGGCATCGTAGGCCACCATTGTTGGTGGATTTATTGCTCAAATTTGTTGTATCTAACCATATTATATATTCACCTTTTTCCCTTTTCAACCTCTGCCACCTCCTTTCTTTCTTTCCTAACACTATTAATACCCGTAATTATTTTTCAAGATATTAAAGGATTAAGATTACGGGTATACAAGTAAGATACGAGAGAATGGTTGGAGGCCGGGAGTGGGGGAGAATTGGGTGTATGTTGAGTTGTAGGTATGGGGGTGAGATTAAAGATTTAATGGAGTGCATATGATAATTTTGGGAGTGTAAAAGTAGGGTGTTTGTTTTAAGGGAAAAGGCCATATTTTTGGCCCCAAAATGGGATGTGTGTTAGGTAAGAAAGGGGAAGAGAGAAGGGGTTGAGGAGTAGGAAAGAAGTGAATTTGTTATAAAAATGGGACAACAACATTTATATCTATATATGGATGGGCTGTGTCTTAGCTTTCAAGATTTAAAGATCATAATAAAAAATAAAAAAAAAATTATAATATATATATATAATAGGGAGCAAAACACGGATTTAGACGGAGTTGGAAAATATAATTTCATCCACGGTCCTTTTTATCCAACCTTATTCTCTATTCGGAGCGAGTTCCCTCGAGGCCTCTACCCTATAGATAAAATAAAACATTTCATTTCTCCCTTTAGTCAAAATTATTTTTTTTTCATTACTTAATTATCCATAATTTTAGATTATTTATTTAGGGTTAATGTTGTCACCAAAGATGAGGATGGTAATTAATTAACACAATTTAATTAAGACATGAACAAATACCCACTCTAATTTTGGTATCTGCTTATCTCAATAATTAAAACATTATGTTAAAAAGTGAAATTCAAATAATGAAGAAAAAAAAAATTAAATTATCAATTTCTTTTTTCATAGCGTGGAGGTTCAATACTGATTTTCTAAAGGAAAATTCAACCTTTTTATTTCTTGCCCTCTCTTCATTTCCCTTTTTTTGTTTAATCTAATAATTTAATCATTTTCCATATGAAAAGCGAGAACGTTCTTTGTTTTTTCTTTTTTTTTTTTGGAGTAATTATTGAATTCTTAAAATTGACTTTTAGGATTTTTTTTTTTTCTTCCCTCTTCAAATATTCTTTTTAAATTCAGAATTTTATCATTGGTAATTACTTTGAAAACATAAATCTAAAGTTATGAATATGCTACAATGAATCCAATTTTTCTGCAAAACATCGAAATAAAAACCAAATATGTTGAAGTTCAAAAGTCAACAAATTGAAATAAATACAAAATATTTTTTAAAAAAGGTTGAATTTAAGGCTTAAGACAAAATTCACATGCGATTTGATGAAAAGACTTAGGGCACCGGTATTTGCGGTTTTATATTTAATTAACATCATCTCAAGCACATGGGTTCTGTGGCCATAGGGCCCAATATAGAAGGATAAGTACTGGGCCCCATAACACACATGCGTGGCCCATTAAGCCCTCGTGCTTGCCCTATAACCATCTAACGGCTGAGATCCAGCATATACTTTGGATGATATTTCGTGAAAATAATTATATTAAAAACATTACTGTTATTAAATAGTAAATTGTTTGTGTTTCTTTTCTGAGAATAACGAACCATTTATGAAGCTTATATAAATGTTAAAAACTATAAGCTGATATATTTCAAGAACATGAGACGTAATATTATGACGTCATAAAAATTTGAAATTTACGGCTATGTCCGACGACTGCCAGCCAAATTTAATTATATATTCCAAAAATAAAATCAGAAGTTGTCTCGAAAAATATTTACAGGTGTGAAAAGTTCAGAGATCAAGTACGCTTTTCACTGGCTGTGTTGACAGACACTGTCTAATTCTGATATTTTCAGAATAAGATTTGTCGTTTAATTTTTGGTTCTTTTTAAGAAAACACTTACACAGGACAAATATTATTCCTTGTGTTATTATATTGAGAACAAAATCACTAATGTTGAGAGAGACATAACAGAATAACTGCATCAAATCTCACAAACTCAATTCATGAACTTATTGTAAGCCGTGGGAAGAATGACAAAAAGCTTACTATTACTAAAAAAGAACTAATAAATTCAATGGACCAATACGACCGAAATTATTATTGTACCAACTTTATTGGCAGCCAGCCAGCGGTTCATCTTCGAACTCGAGTATGAAGGACCAAGGACCAACTCCCTGGTCTCGGTTGATTCATATGCGACTCGAATCTCTTCCAAAAACAAAACGCCTTGTCCAATCCGTTACCACTAGTGCTCTTGTCCGCCAACTAACTTGCTTGCTGAACATCGAGAGAAATACACCAAACAGTCAAGGCCATAGCACATTTAAATGAAAATTCATGGTCTATAATATTTGTGTTGTCAATTTTCCTTTTCACATGCAGCGGGTGAGGGTATTGGTTACTTATCAGACCTAAGACAACCATTTTCTTTAGGAGATTGTAAGATAGCTTGCAGGGTACAGAGGGTGTTTCACCTTGCATAGACAGAATACCAGAGCCACTGAGAGCTGTGGCCAATGGACACCCAATCTCCAGGAAGTTGTGCAGCCGTTTGTTCTCCTCCTAATGGTGCAAATTGTCCAAGATGTTTGTACCTTCAAGGACGATCGTACACAGTGAACAAGTCAGATTCATATAGTTCTTTTCATTCACAAGATTTAAATTTGAAATTGAACTGTCGTAATAGTTCATATCAAATAATGGCAAAGAATGTGACAGTACATAGCTGCATCACACTGTGATATCTGCCTGCCCCGGTTTATAGCGACAGAAATATAATGGTTTAATTTCGATAAGCGAGCCCGCATTCACAACAGTTCAGGAGGACGCATATAATCAGGAAAGAGGTTCCTACTCCCAATATACTGAATAACGACAAAATGAGTGGCTGGACTATTTATTGAGAATGAACTCCATCAGGCTAGACGTCTACAAGGTCAAATACCTTTTTATTTATCCCACGGAAAAGAACTTATCCTGTACTAATTACTTTTGGACTTCACGGGTTCACTGACAAAAATTTTCACCTCCTTATCTTTAAATCAAATCAAAAGAGAGACAGTAGTACCTAAAGGGCCGAAAGCGGTGGCGTCCTGATCCCCTAAACCTCAGAGGACCTTCAGGATTGCTTTCGCATTCTTCCATACGGTTAAAACAATGGGCAAGATATGCGCCTTGTTGTGCAGCCACCTGAAATGACGTTTAGATCGGTGTAAAGCACTCTTTTGTGGAACCCGAAATCAGTATCAAATGGTACTTGTCAAGAATATATGGCGAACCTGTGCGGTAGCAGGAAGGTTTTTCATTTGTGAATCAACTTGGGAAAGGGCGGATTTAAACTCTTCAATGTCTAGTGCGATTGATTCCTTTGCCACATCCCCTTTGGATCCTTTTAAAAGATCAACAATGTCGTGCATTTGCTTATTCTTCAAATATAGTTCCACCTGGGGATACCTTTCACATATGTCATCAATGACTTCTTTAAATTCTTTAACTGTTAGTGTCCCAGAATTGTCTTTGTCTGCCTTGATAAAAATTGCTGAAATATCCTCCTGTTAAGAAATTAGGAACAGCCAACGGCAAAGGAACAAATGAGGCCAAGAAAATCAAATAATTATGAGAAAACTGGTAGATAGGTTTTATAAAACTAGGCATGAACCAGTATACAATGTACACTATTATTTAAGGGCATAAACTATTGAAAAGGAGAAATAATACAAATAAGCAAAACATGACCATAAAACTTTCAAGAGAAAAGGGTATACTGACCATGACTCTTCGCTGATTTATAGTAGCGCAGTCACCAAGTGCATATACATTGTCGCATCCCTCTACTCGAAGCCATTCGTCGGTTGCCAAAGCACGCCTGTTAGCCTATACACATTAATCAAATATCAGCTATAAAGTGGAAAGATGCCGAATTAGTCAGGTAGACAGGTCAAATTATTATAGTAGAGATTTTCAATAAACTAACCTGACCAATCTGTGTCATAAAGTCCTTTATGATCGGACGCGTTCCTATTCCAGTTGACCATACAGTCATTCCATAAGGCATAGAGGATATTTCTCCATTCTTCATTTCCTTGGTAGAAATCTCTTTATCAGTTACCTTGATTACCATCGATCCTGTCTTAACATCAATACCATCTCTACGGAATTTTTCTTCAGCAAAAGCAGTAATTCTTTTGTCAAACCTACAACAGCATGAGAGTTTTTTTTAATATACAAAGTGAGTAAATTTTTTTTCATCCAGGCATTAGGAAACTCCATTTGAAATAATGGAATGATAGGGATTGAGGATATTCCGAATCTATGAAAATATTTAAGCACTCAGCAGAGGAGAATGACAAAGGTTCAATCTTACATGTTCAAGATATGATCTCCTGCCTCAAGAAGAGTAATTTTTACAAAATCCTGAAGTCCAGGATATAACTTGACCAAGTCCTCATTAACAAAATCATGAAGTTCTGCTGCAAATTCCACACCAGTGGGGCCACCACCAACAATAGCAAAATGAAGAATTTTCTTTCTATCTTCTTCATCCAGGGTAGGCAGGCTTGCCCTCTCAAAGCAATCAATTACAGTTCTTCGTATTCTCTGAGCATCTTCCACTTCCTAAAAACAATTCTCAGTAATTAGTCATGAATCAGATGCAATAGACACAGAGGAAGTCGGCCACAAAACAATCAACTTTCACTGAGCTCTCAATCTTCTTCTTTTTCCAGTGAAGCATTTCTACCAAAAGCATTTTACAGAGGGGAAGACCGTGTTCGCGAAGGTGCACAAACTCAATATGAATTTTTTGGTACTAGTGCCGATGCCGTTACTGCTATTACTACATGTAAATATGTAAAAGTAAAGTTGGAATATTAAAATAAGAAGCACCTCTTTACAGGAGGCGAAGCATGTTACCTTTAAGAAATGGCAATTCTCCACAACGCCAGGAGTATTGAATGTATTAACTTGTGCTCCCACAGATATCACCAGGTAGTCGTAATCCACAACAAATTCCTTTTTTCCATTCAGATTGTTGTTTTCGTTAGATCGGCAGTAGAGTTTTTTGTTTTTAGCATCAATCTTGTAGCATTCTGCTTCATTGAATCTAATGTCTACCCTTTTCTGATCGAAGGAAAAGCAAGAAGACCATCATCATGTTAATAGATTATCAAGACACGGTAAAAACACCTAACATGTGACTTAGGTGAAAGGTAGAACCATACTCCTTGAAATGGTTCTTAAAATTAAATATCAAAGTGAATTTCTTTTTCCAAACATCTGAAAGTAGGCTCGCATGTTTTTTCTTTCCATTGCTTTCCTATCAGAAATAATCAATACCTTTCTCACAATGTTGCGAATGGGTTCAACAATGCTACGGGCTTCCACTGTACCACATGTAACACTTGGTAATAATGGGGTGAACGCAAAATAATTTCGAGGTGATATCACTTGAACCTCATACGACGGATCTTTAATATTCTTCAAGAAACTTGTTCCCGCCCAACCAGTTCCAAGCACTACCACCTTCTTCTTTTTCTCATCTACATTGGCTTTAGATGCAAGACTGGGTACCCCATTTGTTGGGCTAGCATCAGCATATGCTACAAGGCTCCCCCCACTGCAGGAGAAAAGAGTGCATCAAAATGTGATTAAAGACGTACTGGAAAAATGAGATTTAAAAATGAATAATATCTAATCTGGGGATAGCTTGGACATGGAGTAGGCCTAATGAGAATTTTTCTCCCTCTAATGGGTGAACCCAGTTGAAAATAAAAGAGATAGCACCAAACGAATGAGAGTGAGTCTCGAGCTCGGTCCTAACTCCCAAGTGATATATACAATGTAGTTGAGCTCTTTCATATCACCCACCAACTTTCGGAGAATTCACTTATTAATCCTTGTTTCTAAATTGGAGTTCTCGTGAGGGTCTAAGGAGAAGGGAATGATCCGGTATTCCGAGTTCTTTCTCACCGCTCATTAAGTGCATCAAATCAGATTTGTAAGCAATGTTCTTAATGAGATGATGTTTAAGATTAGAACAGACTCTCCCATACTAGCTGCAGCTTTTTAAAGAATTGATTAGTCTACCCTTCATCAATTGTGAAATTATCAAGAATGAATCAGCAGAGTAATTTAGTAATGTATCTTTTTGACTTAAAAGTTGATGGTAGCATGTTAAGGAAGCATCGACAGAGAGATTCGTACAATAGAGTAACAAAATATAGCACCTTCGATTTTTAATAGCAATGGAATGTTTGATCTGCAGAGGCGTAGCAAAGCAGGATGGCTCCCCCTTAATTTGTCATAATTCATAAAAGTAGATATAAAATGCTCAAAATTTTGTAGTTTGACTCTAATTTTCTTAGTAAACTTTCATATTAAAATATCTTTATAGAAATCAAGTTAGCATGCGAAATGTTGCCCCTCCCCAAGAAAATCTCTATCTACGGCCCTGTTCATCTATATCTCGGATCGTAATACTCAAACAATTAGTCAGCTAAATAGGATGTGAAACAATGGAATTCCTAAAGACAAGAGACTAAACCGATACAGAGAGAATCTGAATTCTTCAGCGACAGATCCACTTCAAATTGGGCCATGAAACAATTTGAAAAGCAAAGCAGACACGTATTCCCAAGGCATTTGGAGCCTTGAGCTCAGAGTGGGCTTGATATCATGGCCACCATCGTAAAAGATAATCGATGGTATATAATTCAAATCCATTCAGAAAAATCACTCGTACAGACAACAGTGAAAACAGAGCATGGTTGGTCCTCGTGTTTTACCTTGTCGCCTTATGTCAATAACAAAACACTTATATTCACACGAGAACATATTCCTGAAATTATAACGTTTTCAATTGACAAAAAGTAATTCCATTAATACAACAGCGAATCAGAACAAACCATAATTAATAATTTCTTCACACATTTAAACCACACATTCAAATCAAGGAAACAACACAAACAATCAAGTAGAATTCCAAAGAAGATACCTAACGGAGACAAGAACAAGGAGCCTGGAAAACGACGGATGGTCCCGGAAAAGTCTGGAAACCCTGTTATAGAAAGCGTACGTTGGCATATCTTCTCTGCAAAAACCGTATGTTCTTCGGCGCCTCAGAAATAAATGTACAGATCCCCAAGAACTCCGGAAACAATTTTACGAAACGGCAAAATTTAAGAGAAGAAAAAGTTCGGTAGAAAAAAAGTAAGAGAGAGAGAGAGAGAGAGAGTCGTGGGTTAGCTTCCAAGTGAATTGGAAAGTCAGAGTCGGTGGGAATAAAAGAATCGGCCGAGAAATGGGAACGTGATCTGTGTTTCGCGTTGGCGGTGGCTCCCATGTTCACTGACTTGCCGCGCAAGTCTTGGAAGCACCTTGACTCTGGAGGCGCTATTATGCGGTGCTGCGCTGCGCAGCCACTGCTTTGTAACCCCTTCGCTTTGTCGTTTTGTTTTTGAAATTTATGAACCTTAAAATTATGTCATTTATTTCCTATCTCAAATTTCAACCAAACTTATAAATGGTAACTGACTCAAGTCCACCGTTAATAAATATTGTTCTTTTTAGATTTTTCCTTTTCGGATTTTCCCTCTTTAAAACGCCCTAAGGCTTTTTGGGCTTCCCCTCAAGGTTTTAAAACACCTTAAAAAAATATTTCCACAAACTTATAAATGGTGGTTTGTTCTCCTTACCCACGACATCATTGATTTATGAATTAGTTTAAAGAAAAAAAAGGTGCGTTCAAGAATGGCACGTAAAATACACCGACGGCTGGCGTGCGTCCAAGAATATAATAGTGCAACTTTGCTTGCATCAGCCACCTGCTATTTTCTTTAAACCAAAAAGGAAACAAAATTAGGCTTTGCTGCCAATGCCATCCTTCTCTCCTTATGTCTCAACTTGCATTAAATATATTTATTCTCATTAACAGATTGTTTTTTTTTTTTTTTTCATTCCTTCCAATTAAGTATGTACGATCATTAAATGCTTAAGGATTGACATCATCATACAATCTTAAGTAGAAATTTTATTGACTTTGTCAATCTCTAATATATTAGTCTTTTTTTAGTTCAACGTTAGGTCTGGTAACGAGATTAAGTCTCGTTACGAACAACTTCACAATATTTTAATTCAAATTCTCTCGTAAAAAATTTCTAATGACATAATATTGTCTTTACATAATATTCACATATTATGGTACAATCCTCATAAGTTTGAACCAATTCTAGATACATGCACCACTTACATTATTTTGAACCAATTTCAAAATTCATGTGAATAAATTTTATTTTTACATCCCTACCAAGCAAGATACTTAAGTCGGATATCGGGGGAAGAAAAAAGTAATATGATGACATTTGTGGAACGCCTTGCATGAATTGATAACAATCAACAACGTTTATAATAGCAGCAGAAAAGCAACTGATTTTGAGATGTTTGTCAAAACAGAGTTAAACAATGACGAAGAAAAATTCTTCGTGGTTTTCTAGCTTCCCTACTTGGCTAATGAAACTACAAAAAGTATGCAGGTAAACATCGTATTTACAGTATTTACTTGTCCATGCATGTATGGAGCCAGAATAATTACAATGGTTCACCATTTCGACTCTGATTAATACATTATGTATGCATCGAAAAGACGATCCATGAGCCCATGAAATAGCAGGGAATCAGTAGTACCTTGGACGTGGGGAGGCATAACCTCTACCATAAGGCATATTAGAAGGAAATTGATATGCGGGTCTTGGAGGTGGGGTTCCATAAGGTGGACCTGAATGTAGGAACATAGTTAGGAATGGTCGATAAGCACCCTCCCAAAGAAATGAAGATACAGAGAAGGAAGAACAAATGGGGTTCTATGAGTATCTGAATGTAAATACCCACTTACATGCAAAGCGGTAAGCTTTTTTATCTTTTGATGTTCTTGTTGGAAAATATCACATGCAAAAGCAGGGATCAATCAATTAAAGAACTAACCAGTGGTAGGGAAGGAATAAGCTACATCAGCGTATTCCCTTGGGAAGAGTTCACCCATTTGACGACTGTCTCGGAAATGTCCACCAATGCTGTAAGGATCACTCCCTGGATAACTGTGAAGCGGATGGCTACTTGGACCAGGGTACCTGGTTTCACCAATCAAACTCTCGTATGGTCTGTGAAGGGGAACAAACCTAGGTAAAGGAGAGTACATATTTTCTTGATGTACTTCAGAAATAAATCTTGGATTTCCATATTGTCTAGCATCTGATACACCACGTAGACCTGAAAAAAGAAAGAATGTTATAGATGAATCTAAACATCAGAATAAACTCAAGATGCAACCACGGTGACCAACACGCTTAATATAATGATCCGATTCATATTGCATATGGGTGAAACATGGAAATATGTGCAAATTGAACAAAGTATTTTGTATCCATATATATCTCATTTGTATAACATAAGAGATCACGGAAAATGCAGATTGCACGTCTCTGTATGTTTTACTGAGAATTGAAAACTTGTGAAAAAAAAAAATATTCACTCTACAGGACAAAGTAGAAGAAATATTTAACAGATAAACAGGAAACTTCAAATAAACTGGTTGGATTACTTGTGACAAAAGATCTCTGGAAGGTGACAAGAATAAGGGCTAAGCTATAATTATAACGACCATCAAGTTAAATGGATGCATGGTCAGTAAAACAAAAAACGTACAGCCACTGTTTTAATCAGAGAGGCTCGACAAGAAGTGAAAGGCACCTTGATTTTGAGATGAAGGTAAAACATGAGGAGGAGCAGTAATAGCTTTAGAAAATGACGTTAAGTTGTCACGTGATTCAGATGTTAGAGCACGTTTCATCCCATCCAAATATCTTTGAGACTCTGCACGATCAAGTTCTACAAATATAACCTAACAAAAAGAGGACATATATTATGATGTCTACATCATTACACTTACGCACAGACCCTTAATAGCTACGTATGGTGTAATTACCTCATCAAAAAATTCTTCCGAACCAGGCATGTTCTTGCTGGTGGGCAGGATAAAATTGGCTGCATGATGATAATGATCCCAATGGTAAGCAACAAAAACCACAGTGATTATACGATTTGCAACATATGTTTTCTAGCAGCTATATGCAGACACTTCAATAGATCCAAAGAGAGAATTTAACAGACCTAACATTTCATTCACTGCATCAGCTGGTACTTCTTTCCCCATTTCTCTAAATCTTTCAGCCGATCGACGCTGCAACTCCTCAGGCCTTGGGAATACCACAACAGCAATCTGAAAACCAGAATGAGAGAAAAAAAATTGATGATAATAATTAAAAGGTTACTGAAACCTAAATGATCCAAAAGACTTAAACTACATACTTTCTGGGAGTACACAAATGGTTTCAATTTCCGTTTCCGGGCATTTTTGTAAACATTTGTTTGATCAATTATGTAATTGCGAGGTATGGTAGCTGCTCTAGACAGAAGTATGTTGAAAATCCCAGTTGCTTGGTCCATCAAACAATCAAAGCGTTGTCCATAATTATGTTTTCGCAATAGACCTGGTAACTGTTAGAAAAATTCAACTCCTGTCAGTCTTTCATGTAACATAATAATGAACCCCAAAATGATGCTAGGCAAACCAAGTGGGGGATAGAAATCAAGAAGCAACATGAAGAAATAACTAACAGTTCAATACCTTCATTTGATCCAGAATTAGATTAGTCCCAAGCAAAATATAGCGTTTCTCAGGATGTTGATCTGCCCATTTCTTGGCCCATGTACTTTTTCCAGAAGCCGGTAGACCCACCATCATCATGACTTCACAATCTCTTACATTATTAAAAGTAGGCCCTATCAATGCATTGTTATCATCCAAAGCAGTGGCCCACGGTTTAAAGCCTTCTTCTGGAACAAGCCCCTCTTCAACACTGAATTGTAACTGGACCTCAACATTCTTCAACAATACATGAGGAAAAAGTGCTGATTCCCATCGAAGCTTCCCCAATGGAGAATCCACTACTCCAAGGCCTCTTGGACCGGCATCAAATTGTATTGCAGTACCCAACCATTTGCCATTTTTGGAAAATCCAATAGAGGCCAGAGGATTGCTTTCAAGATTTACAGCACAAACAATGGTATCACCAATCCCAAACTTTTCACCATAGTCAGAAAATTTTCCAGCATTTGAGAACTTTCCTGTGCCACCAAATCCAAAACTTTGTTTAGTTTCTCCAAGATTACCCACTGGACTGTCCCCTATGGAAATGCCGAGACGACAAAGATGCTGCTGATCTGGAGCAGTATCATTCATTTCAACTGGCTGTAAAGAGATAATCTTGCAACCAAAACAATATTTTCCACCAGTAATACCAACGGTGGCCCGAGCACCGGACCAGCAGTAAGCAAAACCTTGCTCATAAAGAGCTGATCCTCGAAGACCATCACTTTCAATCTTGAAATCTGGAAACAAAAATAGCCAACACAAGTCAATATAAACCGTATTTTTCAATAAGAACTTGGAAAACAAATTATAAAACGTCACTTCAATAATTTGCTTCTTTTGTCAAGAAATAAATGTCTTGATGGATGTGTACAAAACCGTTAGCTACCAAATGGGGAGTATTTTTAAAATCACGGGTAAAAATCTTAATATCTGTTAACTTCGGTAAGAACAACTCTTTTATTTAAAGTTTTATTTCTACCTGAAGGACATGAGCTTTGCACTATGACCCACTAAAATTTATTTCCACAAGGAAGACGAAGGATACACGCTATAAAAATTTCATAACTAGGTACCATGAAAGGAAGCAATGTAAAGAGAAAAGGAGAAAGAATTAATCCTATCATAGTTTGCTAAAGTAACTACCACATTTTACAAGTCAAACTCTACTACCCGAAAACCTGCATGGGAAAACTCTTCTCCTCAACCAAGTGGTGGAGCCAACAAATTTCTAACTTTTATACCTATGATCTTTCCGTTGTAAAAATTTGGGAGGTACCCTCCTTCCTTCTTGGCTCCCCTCACGCTTCAACCTAACACATTAATTTAGGATAGCACTTGCCCTCCATGTATAAAAACAAGAAAAAACATAATACTATTTTTCGTTCTCTACTTTTTTTTCCCTCCCTTGAACAGTTTCATAAATTTTTCTACCGAACAAGTTTTCTACGTACAACAATATATGTTTTCCTAGAAATCACCGTTCAAAAATTTTCCCAAGGCTATGCCCAGTTCAGATAATGGAGAGTGGGGCAGGAAATCACATAAGAGAAGAGTGCCTAGAAATTCTTCAAAACTTGTAATCTCCATGTTAATTTAATAATAATCAAACTAAAGGGAAAGCATGCATTTTAAGCTTAGGTTCTAAACCAATAAATAGAAGCTAATTAGTATTCAAGTGACCAGCAAACACACTCAAATTATAAATGTATGCAATTTATATAAACCACGAAATGTGAGAGTCGAGCAAACGGGAGGGGAAGAGATGACAAGGAGATCCAACCAGTTTAATTGGGTCGTGCATCCAACGGTACGATTTCAATACAAAATAATATAGGATGAATACAACAAGAAAGAAAAGATAGCCTTCCAGACAGAAAAGAAATACCCAAGTCGCAGTCGGCTGGGTTGAGCACCACTTGATGCTGCCCCTTCACCTCAGAAGCATCTGAAACACAGGAAAATTTGGCTTTCTTCGCCTCATGATCGTCTTCTTGGTGACGGCGTTTAATGGACGCCATTGCCCAACTTCAGAGCGGTAAGAGCCCAAACTGGAGTTGCCGCGCGAAGGATATCACCCGCGCTCTCGTCGCTGCTTGTGAACCTGTTCTTAATTTTTATAAGAATTGCTTGATGTGGGTTGGTTGGATCATTCCAGCCCGACTTAAGAAATCGGGCGCCCTTTTAACCCGACCCGCATATAATGGTTAAAATATCATGTTCCACATTAATATTATGGTTCAATGGATATTTTCCAATATTCCTTATTAATACCGTAAATATATATTTTAAAAATCATCCATTAGTCACGTATGTAAATATAAATACCAAGATTGGAAAGTGAAAATAGCTTAATTATTAACTTAAATAATTTTTATAAATTATTTCAAATGATATACCTGTTAGAACTAAACCTCTATACTATTACAATAATATTAATTTTCATTCGTTGTTGCTGTAACAAAATAATAAAAAATAAAAACAGTATATGAAAAATAAAATATTATATAACTTAATGACATGTTGAATAAATTATAAATACACGTAATTTGCACAAAATCTTACCAATTTCATTTTAGTAATTTTTTACGTCAAATTTTTTTTTTTTTTACGAGACTTATCATCATAATATCATCATAACTCAACTGGTCAAAATATTCTTATTTCACTTTTACAAAAGATATTAAAAAATTAGTTTCTAGAAAAATAAAATATAGCTACAAAACTATCAAAAGGAATAAACTTATATATAATTACCAAAACTTGGGTGTTGAGTTGAGTTTTAGCTTTTGCCAATTAGAACATAGAACATCTGTGAAAATATCTTACTCTTCCTTGGATGTTCTAAATGTAGAACACAAAATTGTCTCTCTTCCCAAAATCAGACAGCTCCAGACACAGAATGTTTTACGATAATTACGCAGCTGCACAGTTCGCTTGCAAAATTGCAAGAGAATGTTCATGCAAGCTACAAATTCAATGAACAAAAACATAATTCAGACCTTGGCTTGGATTCTGGCTGTCAATTGGTGTTGATAGCATCACCATCTCCCGACGAAGCAAAATTAAAACTCCAAACAGAAGCACAGTTTTCATCACCTAAATAAAGCCCAGGAAACATATTAATATAGCATATAAGAACCGATGACAGTGTTGAGGATTGTTAGGAGAGGAGTCTCAGATCGACTAATTGAGGAGTTGATCGTGAGTTTATAGGTAAGAAATACATCTTCATTGGTATGTGGCCTTTCCGGAAAACGAAAAGAAAAATCATGAGACCTTATGCTTAAAGTGGATAATATCATACCATTGTAGAGAGTCGTTATTCCTCACCGACGCTAAAAACAAAAGAATAGATGGTCTTGAGGTTAGAGAGAATACCACGCAAACATAAATCCCCATCATCATTGTCAGGTCCTATAAATCTTCGGTGACCTGATGATGTGACAGTCATTGGCATATATGGATGAAAAGAAAACCCATTAACTGTGTCTGCAGGGAGTACACAGCGTAGGAGAAGTGAGTTAGAGCCAATAAGAATATGGTAATATAAAACCAAGTGGTAGTTCTTGTCAAAATGAAAATGCAATACCTTGTGCTGCTTGAAAACTTGTTACCCACTGCCCGGTTTGAAGATCATATACATGAACAAAACCATCCTACAGGTCAAAATGTAAACAAAACCACTCAGGTTAAGATTGATTAATTAATATCAAGCAAAATAATATAAATAAGAGCTGACAGTATACCTGACCACCTGTGCCAAGATGTTGGCCACATGGCTCAATATCAAAAAATATCCGTTGGTTGGTATGTTCAGATGATCTGTATAGCCTGATGACAAGTAGAATTACGTGATAAGGAAACCTATATTTCATCATTCACAGTAACCGGAAAACTTGAATGGGTTGCCATCACAAACAAAAGAAACAGCATTTTAAAGCTGCAGGCCTTTGTTGAACCAGTAGAATTTTCAAGTTCTAGGTATACTAAATTCATTGCTTGTTCCCTATAGCGGTGAGATTACTTGTAAGGCATAGCCATTGCAGTTTTTAAAGAAGCACTTACTTGTATACAACATCTACAGATTTGCGAATATCCCAGCAAAGTATATATGGGTCCTTTCAAGAAATTTCGGAAAAAGGTATGTTAGAATACAGGTCACAATGCAAGAAAGAACATCACATAAGAACTTATACCTTTCGACCTCCAGTGTATAGATAATTTCCATCTTTTGAAAATTGGATCTGGACAAAACATAACATCACTTTGATAGGAGTATAAATTAAGACCACGTTAAAAAGTAACAACAAAAACCTCCCCTACATGTGTAATTCCACCTTCTTGACCATGTAGAACATATAACAACTCCATATTGTCTTCCCTATAGATTCCGGTGGTCTGGCTATAAGAGCCCAAGGCAAGCATTCCATTGTGTGTAGGAGAAAAGGCAATTGCAGATATGATGCCTGATCATAACAAATGGTCAAAAGATATGCCCTGGTCTATCAATCAGCAAACATTCTCTATGGGTACACTAAGTCTAAGATAACAACCTGTTTGACCTTCCTTATTTCCTTGCAGCGTCGAGTGTTGCCCAAAATCTCTACCAGGTCGATGCAAATCAAATATTCTCACTAATTNCAATGCAAATAAGAAGACTTCCGATTATGCCAATTGGTAAATCCCTCTGAACGGAACAATATTAAAAAGGAAAAGTCAGTTGCTTTAAATCTTACGAAGTTTATGCTACTATTTGAAGTTACAAAATTGAGTGAATCGTGGTACTCAAACATAAAGGGAAGCAACTTAGTTTAATACCCTCGGACTTTTTGATTCTTCGGCTGAATTTGCAACTGCATCGAAGCCTACATATGCGAAGAATACTACAGTAGCTCCAGTTAACACTGATTGGAAACCATTTGGAGAAAAAGGAGACCAATTTGAAACATCAACCTCAAAAGCACCAGCAAAGATGACACACACGACAATGATAACCTGCAGACAAGTTCAACTTCAAACGTTCATTACATATATTTTTCATTCTCATCAAACCTTTTTCTAGTCATTGATTTTTTTAACAAGAGACAAAACCTTCCATTGATAAAATGAAACGAGAATAATGCTCACAAACGATACAAACTCCACAAGGGAGTGAAACAAGGAAAAAAAAAAAAAAAAAAAAAAAAAAAAAAAAAAACAAAGAAGAAAAAGATGGTTTCAATTGGTAACCAAATGAAAATTACATAAAGTATTTCAATTTGTGCAGCAAATATGGAGCATAAAGATTAAACATAAATAAGATCAAGAAGTCGAAATAGCATTTTTGAAAAACAGAAGAGGAGGCGTCTCAATCAGGCATATCATAAGCTTGTAGGGATGATATCTATCTTTGATAATGAAGTCATAAAGACACCTTATAGGCGATCTTAGACATAACACGATGTAAAATAAAAAGGACACCGTTCATGCATGATGACATCATAAGACACCCGAACAGCCATTCACGAGCCCTTTACATATACAGTGGATAAGAGAAGCAAAGATAAAACCTACTTGGTTCCAGCTGGATTAAATGAAATTGAAAAGGCAGCAGTAATTTCATCCATGGCATCATAAGCTCGATATGTACAGCGCAGCTGCAATACATGGTTAAAAAAAAATCTTCAAATAATGGGACCAACTTCTTCAATCACTGATTTTAGCTTCAGGAATTCTAAAACTACCATCGATGTCATGCAAGAATTTACTTTTAACTCCTAACAAGAAAAACAGGAAAAAAGGAACGTTCATAATGGGCATTTCTAAGGTGATGTTGGGCTACCCAATAAACTAATGGAAGATGTGTGGCAGCCCCAGCCACCCACACCTGGCAAGCAACCATGTCAATGCCTTCAATAATTAATAGGCACTCTCCTTAATTATCTGAGGTTTTGCAATACAGATGAAAAGCATAATCTTGAACTTTTTTTTCCTAAAGACTTGAGTAAGATGTCTTCTTGCGTTCACAATCTCTTGAAAATAAGGGAGATCATCAAAACAAAAACATATCATACAGCTTTTCAAGTGCATTAGACAAGCATACAATTTTTCTTACCGCTATAATGACACTCTAAGCTAACATGTTCACATACTTCACATCATGTCATGCATATTTTCAAACACATATCTCAACTCACTCAAATAACACCTTTTGTTCGTCTTATGCACCCCAAGCAAGCATAAAAAAATTGTCATCTGCGCTTACATTTGGAAGTCATAAATGCTAGTCGTAATATGATGAACCCACACTACATGTCAAAAGGCTATTTGAAACGGTAATCACAATCCGACTCCAACGCAATGGATTCATATTTCGAAGAAAGTACTCGTAAAGCCTAAGTACCTCGCCTGATGCAGCATCCCAGAGATGAATTGGATGGTCGCGTGTGGTACTTGCAAAGACGCATGTAACAGGGTCTAAGGTGTCAACCAACTTTCACATCAGAATTCAATTAACAGTGTCGTCAATGATTATACAAATTGAAACAGAAAGGAAAACCTTTCAGCTCCAAGGTAGAAAAAACCATGAATAAGTTGTCTAAGGAGCACCTGAAGCAGACATGTAAGGATACCAACAGAAGTCATAGACTGACTCCCCTTCACCCACAACAAGGTTGGAAGTAAAAGAATCTGCAGACGGTGTAGCACATGAATGACATCATATTAAAAAAAGTAGATATCAAATTCCTCAAGAAGTAGGCCATAATCCCTCTATTCAAGCGCAGACTTACCCTCTTCACCAGCTACATTGCCGGAAACATCGTTGCCGTAATCTGGCCTGCATAACAAGTGTAGTTTAGCAAGCATTCTATTCTATTCCATCATAAAAAAAATATAACATATCTAAAAGATATTCTTAAATTCCACTTTAATCAAGTCTTTCAACATTCATGTACAGGTTGATTGCTGAAGACTTACAGGTTGAATCTGCGAAGACTATTGTCCTCAGAGCTCGTAAGAAAACACGACCCATCAGGTGACCTGTAGCAAGTTATAACTCGAAGATTTCATAAGAAAGAAGAGTAAAGAATAACAATGAAGACGGAGAACACAGACAATATACCATTTTACGCCCTTGAAGAAGTTGTTAGGGTTCGGACCAGTCCGAAACTGATTATAGAAATGGTAAGTCCTCTGTGGAGGGGAATTGAATTGAATCACTGGCCACGAGTATGATTGCTGCTCTTCGTCGTTCATGGCAGCTTCCGCGGCTTCCCCAGCCGGATTGGACCTGTTTTCTTCCTCCTCCACTAACATTGATTCTGTTTCAGACATTGCAAGAACTCCTAAGCAGCAATCCGTATCCAGTGTTCCTTCGTTCCGCCACTGCCGCCAAAACAACGATTTCAGAGAAAAATCGATCAAAACTAAACCACTTGGGCTCCTTTTGTGGGCTTTCGACAATTTCCCAGAAGAAAGTTTGTTGACCATTGAAATTCGTACTAGAAATCATGCAAAATAAACCCAATGATCGCTCTCTTTTAGGAAACTCTCATTTTATTTTTCAATCTTTTCAACTTCTCAATGCAAGTTAAATTTTGTCCAAATTTGTTAGCAAACAAATAGCTTTACGTATGGTTAAATTACTATAATTATCAAAAGATATATTTGTTAGATTATCTATACTTTATATAATCGTTTACATAGTCAAGCATTAAAATACACATTTTTCAAAGTTTCGAAAGTAGGTCATATAATAGATCTCAAGTGATATGTAGGTACAACAAAGATCAAAAGATGCCAACATTAATATCGATCGTTACTCTCGACATCAGAGGATCAAATACACACTTTAAGATTGATTGTACTATAGAAACAACAACAAAATGTAAATGAGAATTCATCCTCCATGATCATAGAATTATGAAGTAAATGACAAACAATAGGCCACAAAAATCTGCAATAGAACGTATAGAACTCCTAAAGCATGCCATCTCTAAGCATCATGCTGCTTCAGGTATTGGTCGTCTCTATACTTCGAGTACAGTGGAAGATCAAGAGCTCTTTCTGCAATTCTTCCATCCTCGTGAATCTTAGCTATTAGGCTCTCAAGGTTTGGGAAGTTGGCCTGATTAGTGATAATATTGATGAGATTTTAATGGAGTGACGAGCATGGAAACCCAGAAAATAGAAGAACAAGCTAGTTGTTTTGCAAGTATTACCTCTGGCCGAATATATCCGACTAAAACAAGTCTCAAGTCCTCATCGTAGAAATCTTCATGGAACTTGTGGAGTAGCCATGGTTCCTGGATCATAATATACAAATATTAACCAGAAAGTGAATGCAGCAACCAAAATTCACATTTCTGAACTATTCTACACTTACAATAGTCTTTTCTGCATTGTCGAAAAATGGATTCCATCCGATGCTTGCGACCATTTTAAAGATGCCTCTTGTTGATAAACCAGCCCAACCGAAATAAACGCCTGATGGATGTTCTAAAAGGACATCTGAATATCCTTCTGTAGATAAATTCGCTGGGAAAAGTAAAGCAAGTTTGTAAGTATTATAATGGAAAGAGATCTGCTTCAGATGTCGAGATTAAGAACAGTTCAAACATTGAGTTTGCCAAACCAGAATTTAGACTATGAGATTAACCAGGAATCAGATAACATAAAGGTTTAAACGACCAGCCTAATGGAAATAAGAACGGTCTATTGAATTCGCACGCACCTGTAGGAATCCCAAGAACTTTCGAGCCACGCCCATATCCCTTGACGACGGGACCTCCAATGTACATAGGATTAATTGGTAAGGTGTTCTCTACCCCTATAGTTTAAAGTCAAGAACTGTGACATATAGATTTATGCATAAAGAAACTCAACTGGAAAGGTTGAGAATTGAGGTAGTTAAAAAGGGTTGTGGTATGTACAATCTTCAAATGGAGGTAGGCCCCATTTCTCAGGCTGAAAGTCAAGCAGTGAATTGATCACCTCATCCGCTGAAGAGTAGAGATTAGTCTTCTTCGGAAGGGATGGTACAGCAATCACCTTCATCCCAGCAGCCTTACCGGCTGCAACACCTGGACTGGTATGCATGTTGAGTAAGAAGAGTACGATGAATCAAAACGTTCATTTGATAACCATTTAGTTTTTTTTTATTTTTTATTCTTGAAAATTGAAGTTCAAATACAGATACTTACACGGAATCCTCAATTACGAGGCACCTTGAGGGTTCGAGATTTAACCTTTTTGCTGCTTCAAGGAATCTTTATCAATGAACGCATTGTTAGAACGCATAATTGGATTACTTGAAAAGAAAATACTTCACAAATTTATGAAGAGCAACCAGCCATTGAAAACAGTGAGGCATTGTTAGTTCTTAATGGTTTACTTGCAAAAGAAAACCAAGTTAGAAAGAACCGACAGAAAATAGTTGCATTTTACATTTCAGGAGATGGTTTGGCCGTTGTAACTTCATCGCTACCGATTATCACAGAGAATGAGTCTTTCCAGCCTATACAATAATAAAATCAAGCAGCTAAATAAATAAATAGTAGCAACAACCAGAACAAGTAATTGGATATGTTATGGTCTTTTAGAAACCATACCATGATGAAAAGAAATTTTGGTCTCTATGTTTTCCCTACTTGAGTTCGAAGCTAATGCCATTGGCACTCTGTGACCAGTGAAATGTTTAATCAACCGGTTTGCTCCTGGAAGTGCTTTAATGTTGCACCATCTGTAGTGGAAATTCCAAAAAGTGTTCTGTTATGGCAAGGATTATATCGTAGACGCATTGCATTTGTGCTACCAACAATCCAATAGAACAATAAAATGCATACTGCATGGTGTGTGCAACTCACCAAGAAATCCCATTACTTGAACACTTTCAATTAATAATACCCTTTACAATACACAATCTGAAATTGAAATCTTGTACTTGGAAAAGAATGATTGCCATGATCCGAACGATGAAACGAAATAATGTTTTCCAATACAATAAAAACCAGGAAGAAATATCAAAAGTAAATTTGAAGGTCGTATAAGAAATAATTATTTGATAATGTGCATATGTTCATAACCAAAACCAAATTGACTTGAAATATCCAGTTCCAATAACTTTTGAAAAGCTAAAAACCAGTCATCCAAGATCAGCACGTTGTCGAGGTAACATAAACAACAAAATATGTAAGGTGCCAGCAGTTTATAATTATATTACAAATTTCCAAAGGTTGCAACCTAGAAAAATCGAGATGAATTTGGATTGAGCATGCAGTGTCTTCGATTTTTAACTACCATAGTATATCAATCACTATAACAACTTGCAGCATGTTGTAAAAACCAAGAAACTTCACTATTGACCTTAAACGGTTGAAAAGCTTATAACCAAGATGATACGGTTACATGCATTTAAGCGTAGATAGGAAAGAACACTAATTGTTTACCTCTCCTCAAACATTGGGGAAACTTGTGACATCAATTCAGTTGATGTGCAAGGAAGCTCGTAATCTTCAATAATAACAGCTGCAGACTCGTATGGCGTCTTCCCAGTAATTCTTAGGGCTTCCCTTCCATCCCATTGCTTTCCATACTTGTCCAGAAAGGATTTTAGAACGTCACTCACTATGCCATCTATTAAGATATGGTGGTAGGGAGGAAGAGATTCAGCAGTGGAGAAAAAGGGAAATACAAGGACGCTAGAAGGTAACTAAGTTGGTTGATATATTTACAATAGAATACCAAGTCACAATAGGGGATCCAGGTCTGGGAACTGACAGATAGATATCACATTTTTCACAAACAGAGAAATTCAATTTCAATGCCTCAAAATAAAGTTGCTGAGAGAAACAAGACTATAAATGTTGATCTACATTGTGAAGAACACAATAGGACCTGTATGTAGAAGTGTGCCATCCAGATCAAGAATAACGCCAGAAACAACCATTTTCAGAGGATTTGAGATGGAGCTCTTAATCATTTCACGTTGGTCTCATGAACATAGATCATATTCCCATGGGTGAACCATGCCTAAATAGAAAGAAGATTATTTCAAATCAGTTGCCAGAATCATCATAACAGATACAAGTTGACTACCGCTCTAGTTCGAATGTTGCCACAGTCACAGTCATATTAAATGTTCAAAGAGAACACATTCGGCATGCTGATATACTGAATTGCACCAAACTCGAAAAAAACGGACAATTGAAAAAAATTACCAAAAGAAAAGCACTAGCCGAAGGTTTCTGACACAATCAACCATACGCTCGAAAGATGACATTTTAAAAAAATTGCTTTACTATGGAACGTAGCATTCTTTATAATGGTGTGAAAACCTCTCTCTAGCAGATGCATTTTAGAAATCTTGAGGGGAAGCCAGAAACGAAAAGCCCAAATAAGACAATATCTGCTAGCAGTAAGCTTGGGCTGTACAAATGCTATCAGAGCTAGGTTCGTGATTCCTAACACAGTATAAGAGTCATGCCTTTAACTTAGGCATGTTAATAAAATTCTCAAATATTGAACAAAAAAGTTGTGAGCCTTGAAGGTGTAGTCAAAAAGCGATTCAAGTATCGAATAAAGGGTGTAGTAGTTTGTTCGAGGGCTCTAAAGAAAGGAATCGAGTCTCGATTAAGGGGAGGCTGTTCGAGGGCCTCATAGACCTCGAAAGAGGTACTATAGAATACTTTGTTCAAGGGAGGATTGTTGGTGGCCTAGATCAGCTAATAAGGGGATATTCATGGGTTTATAAGTAAGAAATAATCTTCGTTGGTACGAAGCCTTTTGAAAAAACTAAAAGCAAAAGAGTTTATGTTCAAAGTGAATATCATACTATTGTAGACCGTAACTAGTTTTTAACAAGTGCTGCACCATCAGATGTATAAATCAGGCTCAGGAACCACCTCCACACCCAAAAAAGTATGAAGTACTGCGGGTAAAAGATACCCTTTCCGAGTATGAAATTGAGAACTGCATCCCCTCCACCCCGCAGAAAGGGTTTCGAGAAATTTGCAGAATTGTGTTTCTCTGTCTCTCAAGAGTTAAGAACATAAAATGGTAGGGAAGGTGAATTGGACCAGTATACCCACCGTACCGTGCAGAATATGAAATCTATATCTACAGGCTTCCCGAAGTCCAAGGAAGTCCAAAAAAAATATGTACAGTCAACCTAAACCCATACGACCCAGATTATGAAACGGAATCCTCAAATTTTTAGACAGATAAGAAACAGAAGGTAGTGAAATCAAACAACAATTCGCAGATTATGTTGATCAAAAGAAACGAGGAGAATCCAGGTTCAGCGGAAATTAAAACCTGAGCCTGAGTTGGATGAGTACGACGGATCCGAACAAGATGAAGACTCCTGTGGTAGGGTGGAAGCAGAGCCTGCAACACATAAAACGAGGAATAATTGTTGTTACAATCACTCCAGCCAATCACGCGGGTGGCCTGAGTTCGATTCCCGGCTAAAGCTAGATTCTTTTTTATTAGGCATTTTTTTTTTTTTTTTACGGAATAAACTTCGACTTTAATATTTATAATATTCTTTTAAATTAGAAAATTAACTTCGAGAATAACATTCACATTGGATAGCTTTACTAAAACTTCACACTTTACAATTGTGACCAGAACTTTAATACTACTTGCGACTCCTTCGAACGGTGACGGTTGGTCCAATTAGATTAAAAATTAATATTAAAAAAAGTCCGTAATTGAATTTTTTATCTTGTTCAATGGGCAATCGTGATTCATTTTCAAATAACATTCACACTCGGTCGCTTTACTAAAACTTCACACTCTACACTTGTGAAGAGAACTTTGTACTACTTTCGACCCCCTTCGAATGGTCACGGTCACGGTTGGTTCCATTAGATTAAAAATTAATATTAAAAAAAACCCATAATTGAATTTTTTATTTTGTTCGATGGGCAATCCTGATTCATTTCCAATAGCCTGATTTAGTTATTAATTAGTGGTTGAAAAGTTGGGAGGATAGAAAGAAAAACGACCAAGTCAAAGACATGATGAATGACAGGAAAAAAAGTTTCAATATTTTGATGAACACAATCCGCCAAGTGGTTGATATTTCCCCCAATCATCCAAAATCTTCATTCATTCCATTTCAAATATATCTAATTTCAGCAACTCCCATTCTCAAATCTTCTTAATTTCTCTGTACCCATCTTGGGGTATTGGAGTTTTAACTCTTTTCTCTTCTTATTGGACGAAGACAATTCAGCACAACTTCGTCTAGGAAAAGAAAAGACCAAATTTTTCAACTTTTTTTTCTTAATTTTTTCTTCCCATTTCAAAAAAATCCCCTAAAAAACAAAACCCATTTGGGAGATTTGATTGTACAAACAAAAAACCAGACAAAATGAACGACTTGTTCTCGAATTCGTTCAAGCAATACACGGATCTGAAGCAACAGGCGTCTGTGGACGGCATGGAGTCTGGGAATGAGACTGTGAATTTGGACACGTTCTTCGAGGATGTCGAGAATGTTAAAGACGACATGAAACAGGTCGAGAATTTGTACAAGAAATTGCAACAGAACAATGAGGAATGCAAGATTGTCCACAATGCCAAGACGATGAAGGAGCTGAGGGGCAGAATGGAGGCCGATGTCGCCCAGGTTCTGAAACGAGTCAAAATGATTAAAGGCAAACTCGAGGCTCTGGATCGTTCCAACGCCGCTCACCGCAGCCTCCCAGGTTGCGGCCCTGGCTCCTCCGCCGACCGAACCCGAACCTCCGTCGTCAGCGGCTTGGGGAAGAAGCTCAAAGATGTCATGGATGAGTTTCAAGGCCTCAGAGGTCGAATGAACGCCGAATACAAAGAAACCATCGAGCGCAGGTAATGAACCAAAACATATTCAAATAGATTCAGAACATAAAAATGAGAGCTTTTTTGTTATTGGGGGAGGGGACAGGTACTTCACAGTGACAGGGCAGAAAGCCGACGAAGAGACAATAGAGAATTTGATAGCAAGTGGGGAAAGCGAGAGCTTCCTCCAGAAGGCAATTCAAGAACAGGGGAGGGGTCAGATAATGGACACAATCTCAGAGATTCAGGAGCGACACGACGCTGTGAAGGAGATAGAGAAGAATTTGTTAGAGCTGCATCAAATATTCTTGGACATGGCGGCGCTGGTCGAGGCACAAGGGCACCAGCTGAACGACATCGAGAGCCATGTCGCGCATGCAAACTCGTTCGTGAGAAGAGGAACAGAGCAGCTTCAGGAAGCCAGAGAGATACAGAAGAGCTCGAGGAAGTGGACTTGCTATGCCATTATCTTGGGGGTTGTTCTTATTATCGTCATCCTCTTCCCGATCTTGACTACAATTTTACCTCATTTGTTGTAGAAAGCTTCTTGCTTTGCTTTCTAAAGAAGACCCCTCCAACAAAAATTGTTTCAATTCGCTTCTGTCATTCAAATTGGCGTCTTCTGAGGATGTGTTGGTCGGTACACGTAGCTGTAAATGTGTGTGTTCTTAGTTGCTGGAAACAAAACAACAACAGAATGTTTGTATAGCCAAAGATCCAATACAATTTTATCACTTTCTTTTTATTTTCTCATTTTTAAATGCTTGCATGTGTGGTTGCTCACTTCTTAAGCTTCTACGTCTCCCTTTTAAATTTTTAAAAAAAAAAAAAAAAAAAAAAAAAAAAAGAGTAAAAACTTGGTATGGTTTAATAGAGTTATTTATGATAACTATTATTTATCAATTTTATATACTAAATTCTAATTTTTAAAATTTGTAATTTAATATTTATATTTTTACAAATAAAAAAAAAGTAATATATGAACACCAATAATCCCATTGTTTTTTTTTTTTTTTATAGGGAAAGAAAAAAAAACTTATACAAACCTAACTAGCTAGTATAGGACACCTTCTATAATTATGATTTAATTTTTTTTACAAATAAAAATAAAGTAATTAATTTCGTATATTTGGACCAATCAAAATTTACCAGAAAGGAAGAAAAGCTTCCAAAAGAGACTGTAAATTCAGTTATCTCCATGGTTCACCATCTCCCAGTACTTCTTCAACGACTGCTCCCTCTGCAACCTCATCTCCTCGTTGAACCTTCTTATGAAATCCTCCACTCGCCGGTTCAAATCGTCCTGATTCATCGACGGCTCTTTCCTCAGCTTCATCGCCTGAGCCGACACATTCACCGGCGTCAATGCCTGATTCGTCCGGTCCTTGAACGTCTCCGATTTCTGCACCGCTGACGACTCGACCTCGCCGGCGCTAATCTGACGGTAGTGATTCTCCCACGTCTCGCACTTTTTCATGTGCCTGCTCAACGGCATTGCTCTGCCTTCCGTTATCGCCTTCCACGTGTTCTCTAGCGTCTCGTGCCGTTTCGCCTTCGATATTACTCCCAGCGCCTTTCCGCCTGAAACAGATTTCACCGGTAAACAGATCGCCGATCAGAATATTTTATTGTTTATCCGTTATGAGAAATTTTGGACCTAACAATCCTTATGGCTGTGTTTGGCCTTTTGCCCTTTCTTATTGTTTGTAAATTTGTGCGTGAAAACGACGCTCACAGTGCACAACGCAAGTGGTAGCTGTATGGTTATAGTCAGTCTCTGTTCATTTATGACATGCCAAAGTTGATTTTTATTTCATAGCGCAAAAGAGACGTAAAGAAACTGACTACAGCGCCGGCTATTTCTCCCCGACGCCGACCAAAAAGTTGTTCGAGTTTGATTCTCACTGTTTATCAAATTAATTACTTGGTAACCTAATGCTTGCTTGCAGTTTTTAAAAGAAGTGCGAAATTGATATGAAATTGAAATGAAATCGATTAATCATTACCTTCAGGACTCGATTTCGCCGATTTACGGTGGCTGAATCTGGAAGAAACAAGTGGTTTCTCTGGCAATCTCATCCTCTCCGGCGAATTCCAGATCGGATTGGTCGATATGATGAATTTGTCCTCATCCTCTGCTTCAGCTTCAACAGAGCTAATCGCTTCCGGAACAATTACTTCTTCTCTTGGTAAGATCACCGCCTGCACTTCCGGAACAATTACTTCTTCAATCGGCGAATCTATCGCATCGATAGTCTTCACTTCCAAAACAATCAGTTCATCTCTCTGTTCGTAAACCGCCGGCGATTCTACAGTAGTGAAATCCGAAACAATCTCCCTGTATCCGATATCCTCCGGAGCCTTATTTGCAGAAGGAATCTCAACGTAAGCGTCGGCTTCTTTCTGGTTGAAGCGCGAGGAGGCGACGATGGAGATGATGATGCCATTGATGATAATGTAAATGTAAGGAGGCCTCAGGCAAGAAATCATGGAGTTCCAAATCAGAGGCACATACAGAACGGAAAACTCAACAACCCAAGGAACGGAGACCTTCAGAGCCAGAGCCAAGGAAACAACTCCGGCCGACATCAATAAAGCCTTCAAAGAGAGCAACCACGCCATTTTCCTTCTTCTTTGTAGTAGTTATCTGAAACTTCGCCGGTGATGTAGCCGGTCGGAGATGAAAAGACTCAGAGTGTCCTTATGCGAAGTGCAGATGTGGTGTGGGCTTATCGTTCAGTTCGCAATTCATTTATATAGGGACGGAGTGAAGGGACACGGTTTGAAACGGAATATGAGCCGTTGGATTAGACATTGGGAATGAGCTGGGGAAAGATGGACGGCTGATAATGAAGAACTAGAAAGTACGTGGAGTGTTGAATTGGGTCAAATAATCCAAGCGGTTTAAGGGTGGCCCAGAATTTAAAGAAGTGGAAACAAAATAAATAAAGAGAAGCATTGAAGTGATGGTGTCATAAAAAGAGATATTTAATTATTTATTTGTTCATTTAAAGAACCATTAAAATCCATAAAGATTAACATGAACGTGGAGCCATATATTTTCAAATATTAAAAAAATAAATAAATAAATTATATGCGATCATATTTAAATAACAGTAATCTTGATAATAAAACCATGGGTTATAAATATAGATAACATATGTACTCAATAAACAATAATAATAAATATAATAAAGCTTTGAAATTATGATAACAAATTTGGTGGCCATATTTTGAATTATTAATTACAGATGGGCAGCCACAACTTGGTCTTAAAGTTACGCTTTACTGCCATTTTAGCCATTTTACAACCTCAGCCAACACCTTCTTTTTTTTTTTTATATTATTATTATTTTAGTATATTCATAAAGATATCCCTATCCTCAACGGTCGTTTAATTGACCGTTACTCCCGGTGGCTGTTCCAGGATCCTGAAGCGGTGGCCCACCGGTTCCGCCATGGCCTTCCTCCGCCATCACACATGTGCCACTGCTTCCGCCACCGCACACGACCTTCCCTGCCGACCACGGACTTCATTCAATTCTATGCATTCAATGGATAAGCTTTCTTCTTTATTAAAAATAAAAATAAAAACTTTTTTAAAGATGTCAGATTCATAATTTTCTTTTCTTTTTCTTTTTCTTGTTGATTTACCTCTTTGGAAGTATTTATATAATTTATTTATATGGATTTTTTTATTCATGCTTATTATTCACAACATTTTCTAATTATTAGATTCATTCGAGAATCGACCTAAACATTTGATACAAATAAATGCATGAATTTAGTACACGAGCCTTATATCTAGGATTCAGATCAAGATTTAAATTTTGGATTCAATAACTAGTGACCTCGATGTTCCTATGCAGCTTTCTTTGTGTTTCATGTCAGAGTGAGGGACCTTATCCATCCGCCAAAAGAGCTAGCTTTTAGTGAAGATCCCCTCATATACGGTATATTGTTGATGATTATTGGGAATGAGTCCCACATTGGTTAATTTAGGGATTGATTATGAGTTTATAAGTGAGGAATATTATCTCCATCCGTATAAAGTCTTTTGGGGAAGCCCAAAACAAAGCCATGAGAGCTTATGCTCAAAGTGGACAATATCATATCATTGTGAAGAGTCGTGATTCCTAACACGTATAAGGGGTCGTAAAGAATCCCGGTATGTGGTTCCGTGCCAAATGCGATCAACTAGTCCTTCCTTTATAAGATTACTGTACAAACCTGAGAATATCTATAAAAACAGAACGAGAATAGTTTTAACTAAAGTCGAAAGGTATCCTAAAGAAATAGTAGCACCACAATCCACCTAGAAATTAAGTGTATTTAGTTTGGATTAATTCTATATTCGATGATATTTTATAAATTTTCTTAAAAATTGAAAATATGTATTATACAACTATTTAATTAATCAAAATTAAATGATGTCAATATGAACCCAATTAGTATCTAGAGTGTAATTAAAATATTCACCAAAAAAAAAAAGTACACGTGGGCCATGTTAATTAGTTAAGTCCATTCAAGTCAACCTGGAAGAATGTTGACTTCTATATTAAAATGTTAATGAATTGACACGTATTGCAGATCATCTCAATCGGTCAGATTAGGTTAAACAAATAAATTTAATTAATTAAAAGGGAATGCCTTGTTAATATATAATAACAAATCACTTTCTACCATACCTTAAATTAAATATTAAGATTAGATTAAACAAATAATTTTGCTGTTATTTTTCAATCTCATTATTCATTATTCAAACCTTTACAATGAATAAATATATTAAAAAACCATGAACCTATTTTTGTGACCGCATTTAATGACGCAATAAATAAATTTCTAACACATTTTAATGGTTAAAGATTTTCCCTTTAAGATTTTTCATATATAAATAATGAAAATAAAAATTCATAGTGAATATTAGAAAGATTACTATAATGGAATTAAATATATATTGAAACAGTGTGAAAATATATATTTTCGTTTTGAAAATTCAACTACATGCATTAATTGTAACAACATTAAAATAATAAATGAGAAAAAAAAAAGTGAAAACTACATGTATATTTATTATGAAAATATTGTGGTCGAGCGCGGATATGTCGGAATCTGCTCCAAAATTGATGGGTCCAAAATAAAGGCATTTTTTTTTAATCAAAATGAAATGACGACAAAATGTTTATCTAATCACTTAATTTATGAAGTTAATTGATGTTTTACGCGTTTAAATGGAAGCAACCGACTTTAATTTTGGATTAACTGTTTGGACTTTCAGGTTGACTTAATTACTTGTTCATTAAGCTAACATTAATTGGTAATTAGGTAAATTAATATTTAAAAAAAAATTTAAAGAAAATATAAATTTGGTTATTATATAATAATACAACTTTAAATTTAAATTTGCAAAAGAAGTAATGAGAACAGAATATGGGTCAAAATCAGTTCGTTTCCAGTGAAAGGAGAATGAAAGGAGGAAGAAGCTTCGTGTATGGTTGTGGAGGAAGAAAAAATAGAAGAAAAAAAAAATTGGGTATGGCAGTTAGTGAAGGTAGTTAGCAAAGTAATAGATTTAAATATTTAAAAAATGACACGTATATTATTAGAGATGTGTCGGATACTATGGGAACCCACCATGAATGAGATGCGGATTCTCTATTTAGACAAAATCGCGAAGGGAGTGATCAACGTTTTTTTTTTTCTTTACTTGATAAATAGAGACGGACATAAGATTGTATATCCGGTTTCCATCTCATGTCTGCCCCTCATTTAATATAAATTAAAATTTAATATATATATATATATATATATATATATTCTTTTTTTAAAATATAAAAGTCTATAAGGTAATTATATTATTTAAGTTAATGATGTTGTAATTTTTTAAAACATTGTTAAAGACTATATTATAATTTAAAATAAAAACCCCCAAAGTCCATTCTTTCACATTGGAAAATATATGTGGTAATAATAAATTTTATCCATAAATCGAGAGGTAATTGGAATAGGACAGTGGAGTGACGTAGGAAGCTTGTGGGAAATTTAATTAAAGCACTTTAAATCGAAACAAAAGGACAAATAGTTTGTTAACCAAACCGCTGAAAGATGGCAGTACAAAACATACCGACAATCCCAATAAACCCGGTTGCCGGTAAAATTGTCAACGAAGATAGACAGTGACGACACGTCGGATGAAATTGAGGGAGCATTATCCGGGGACGAAACTGGCACGAATGGCGAAATGTGGAAATTATTAAAAGAGTTTTTTTAAAAAAATTAATAATTATTATTTTTGGGGCGTCAAAGTAGATGGTCCTGTCCAGCTAGTTAATTCTATTACACTGCGGCCGTAACTGACCACCGTCCATGCTTCCATTGACTGACGCGTGTCCGTGTCAGTGCCACGGGAGGATATTCCCCGCCAGCTGAGACTAATTCTTCCCATCTCTGACCTAATTTTAGGTTTTAGTTAACTAATTCTTCTGGATTATTACGAGTAGGAGAGTCCCTTAGCTAATTAAGATAAATATCATAAAGTCCCGAGAGTTTAAACTCAAAGTGGATAATATCATACTATATTACCATTGTGGTGTGGAGGATCGTGATTCTTGACACCCACTAGACTTTCTTACGTCGGTGGCCAGGGCCATTTCCACGAATTCAAAGACTAGTCTCGATTCTGCTTCCTTGGGTACACATTTTTCAACTTCTGTTGAGACAACCGGACTGAAAGTGAGCAAAGAACAGATCTTCCACAAGGTTCATAAATACCGTTCAGACATAGAACACTCATCAAATACTAACTTCAACTCATATCATATCTCTGTCAAAGATTTTCATCAAACCTACTTCCAACGTTAATCGTTCTTTTTCATTTTCAGTTTTCTTTCAACTTCTCCACTGTAAGGTCCAACATGGAAGGCATACTGCTGAAAAACAGCGAACACAATCATCTCTAAACATATCAACACGTTCTGGAATGCCTCTTCGACTTGCTCAACGTCTAACCAGATGTGGGTTGACCCAATAATGCCCAGTGCAACAAGTATATCTAGCACCACGCCCTGAATAGTGGATGGCATGTTAAGATGAAGTGAGGACAGTAACATAATTACAGAAACAAATTCAATGAAGGACAGAAGACAGGAAATTGTTCATATTCCTTAACAATACATGTGGGAATTCAGAGAATAGAGACAATTAAAACAATTAGATGCCAAAAGTATACATACCGACAACGGATGAAACTACTGGGAAAAACTAGGTTCTGCTGAAAATAACAAAATTCTGTATCCTACTGACTCGAGTGAATTTGCATCAGTGATAAAAATTCGTTACAAATCTTTGTCGACAGGTTATCTGACATAAGTTGGTTGCGCATTACCTTCAGCACCCATAATTTAAGGAAAAGTAAAAAATACATGGGAAAAAACTAGTATAGGCAAAAGGGCAGACAGAAACATGCGCTCAAAAGAAAGTTGGAACTCCAAACAATGCCTTCCTGGTCCTAAACTTGCCAAAAAAAAAAAAAGAAAAAGAAAAAAGCTTCTTTGTCGTCAATCTTGGTGTAACAGCCCAAGCTCACCGCTAGCAGATATTGTCCTCTTTGGGCTTTCCCTTTCGGGCTTCTCCTCTAAAACGCGTCTGCTAGGGAGAGGTTTCCACGCTCTTACAAAGAATGTTTTGTTCCTGTGATGTCCCACATTGGTTGGGGAGGAGAACAAACCACCACTTATAAGGGTGTGGAAACCTTCCCCTAGTAGACGCGTTTTAAAGCCTTGAGGGGAAGCCCGAAAGGGAAAGCCCAAAGAGGTGTGGCAGCCTGTTCCCCGGGGTAGACACGAGGCGGTGTGCC